TTACATTGAGAAATGAAAACAGACATGAGTAGAATGCACAACAATTGGATAGAACTAGAAAGGAAGACCTAAGACAGAGTTGTTTGGAGAATACTGGTCGGCAGCCTATTCTCCATTGGGAGTAACAGGCATAAGTAAGTAATTTCGTCATGTTACAAAACAAACAACAGTTTCTATTGAGATGTTAGGGATAGATTAATGATATTTTATAAGTATACAGCCGTTACTAACAGGAAAGACTAGGTTTTTAACAAATTTAATTGTCTAACTAAAATAGTTATCCTAATGTTAACTTGTATAGAACCAATAGAATGAATTTGTTTGTTGTTATGTTTTCTTCCTCATGGAGTTAAGAATGAAAGTAGAAGATAATGATGTTCGATAAGCAATACTTGTCGATCATAGATCCATAGTGTTATATCCTAATGAAGATTAAATTACGAGTAACGTCTGAGACCTGTTAATGGACTAATATTAGATATATATTCCTATTGTATAACTATTCATCTTATTATAAGTTTCATTTTGACCTATAAATTATTATTGTACAATCTACTGTTCTTTTGTTCAGTTTACTGATTACAGTCTCCTACGTTCACGGCCACTTTTGACTTTATATTTGTATAAATGTTATTTCGAATTTTATGATGCGATGCAGTTTGTTTAGCTGGTATATAAACCAATTATTGTCTGAAATAAATGATTCACATAGTGGAAGCTGTTATTGGTGTTCTGGACTCAAGTGGATAGGCTAGGCGAACAAAGGGCCAATAAGGATACTAGGCTGATCAGACCGGTCGAACGTCATTGGTTTAATACAGTACAAGAGTGAATAAATCATACTTCGATTAGTGAATAAATTACGCGATAACTAGCCCGACTTAAAGTCACAACACATGAATCGAGTAATTTCGATGTTGAGTATAGGGTAGTAGATGTGGATAAGGAGTAGGTTGATGAAGTGGTCAAAGCATATGCTACGTATATTCAATCTCTATTAACCGATTTTTCTTATCGTCACTGTTGTTGCATTATTTTGATATATTTACTACACCATATTCATACACTCATTTCGTTGTGTGAATCTTGTATGGCAACTCAAGTCAACGTATATGTGCATCAGGTTGTAAATTGATTATGAATATATATATTCATGGGGTCATAATGTTAATTTCATGTTTGTTTAAAATCTGTGTACACACTTGACTGTTTTTGATTGAAATCATGAACTGACCGATGTTAGACCACCATTGAAAAACTGGAAGCACTAAACGGCCTTTTCGTACTATTGTGGGACTCCTCAACAGAGCGCATCCACCATCCCACTCACAGGATTCCAACACAGGCCATCCAGTCTCGCGCATGAACGCTTAATTTACTAAACCATTGAGCCGGCCAAGATCCAACGATGTTAATGTCTAATCTCAACCATCTTTCAATGTATTGAGGTAGATATCTGTCTCTATTCGACACGGATTAACTCCACTGGTCACGGCGTCTCACTAGAACTCTTGACTGTGTAAGTTAAATATATATGAAATAATTTTCGACCTCAACAACATAAAAATAGTATTCAACAAAATTGTATCTGAGCATTGTACGTTTAGACTTATATGGTCTACTGTGAAAACTCGTTTTAACTTGAAATTAAAGTCGTTTATTCTTTGAACAAGATACATTCAACTGAATGTGAAGTTTGTTGTGAATTATTGGATGTTAATTTGTGCAACATAGAACCTGATGAATATGAGCATTAGTTCAAGTTGCACACTATATCAATAAGGAAAAATGAACTTAGCATGAGAAATGTCAGAGTAGTATAAGTAGTAACAGTATTCGTGGTAGTAGAAAAGTTCACAATATCAAGGAGTCTCATAAATAGAACAAAACAGTTCATTAATGATCGCTTATTTTTCTTTGGTTTGTTTGTTCGAATCCCGTCTATGATGTTAACTATCTTCTCACTTAAAAAAGTATTTAAAAGTTAGACATTTATTGTTCTACTTATTCAATCAACTAGTCAGTCATTAAGATATTACAGTTATATACATTAGCTAAGTGGATAACGCAATGAAGTTTCAAGCGAATGCTACTGCATTCGAGTCCTGGAATGGACATTAACTCTAGGGTACAGGTACATTCAGTTGACGAGTCCCAAATAGGACGAAATGTGTATCCTCGACTCTACTGCTATTCACTAGCCATCTTTGTTTATAAAGCTCGTGAATTAAGGCAATATCGAAGCAATCCGCACAGGATGCACATATGTCAACAAGAAACTGATCGATTGCAGTCCTAAATTACAATATATATATATGGCTTATAAAGGGTAATTACCGATATGTGCTAATCATATATATATAATCTAACACAGTTTAAATATTCCTGTATCAGATCACCTTGGAGACAGAATTCAAAATGAAATGTTATATTTGTATTGGTTACTTGAATCTTCCCATTGATGATCAATCTCTTATCGATATATATATGCATCTTGAGCGAATTACCTTGATATTGCCTTAGGTCACAAGCAATCAATACAAATATGAATTAAACATCATTCTATTGAATAAGCTGATAGTTATCTGGACTCATTAGCTAAATGAATAACATGATAACGTTTCAAGTGAACGCTACTAGGTTCGCATCCTGGAATGGACATGAATTCTAAGATGTAGGTACATCCAATTGATGAGTCCTAAATAGGACGAAATGTGAGTCAAATTGGATTCCATTGTTAGTCATTATCTATAATACAGTCTTGTTATCTGTACATTTTTAGCTCATCCAAAAACAAAACAGAACAAACAAACAAACATATCAAATAACAAATTTTATCTTGTTTATTTTAGTCACAATGAAGATTAAAGAATTAATAAAGGAATCAGAGAACTGGTTATGTAAGGAAACATTTTTTTGTGTTTTTTGTTTTTGCACAATGAAATATGAGAACCTAATGGAATAGTTAGTCTGAAAAAAAAATCGGAATATTTTTTTAACTGCCCCCCCCCATCTACGTCGAAACCTCAATAGGAATAATATTTGACTGTTCATGAATAAAAAAGAAATCTCCTTGTTATTATAAACAAAGATGGATAGTGGCTAGCAGTGGAATCCAGGATGTGCGTTTCGTCCTATTTAGGACTCGTCAACTGGATATACCTGCATCTCAGAGTTTTTTTTAATCAGAAGGGGTTTTGTGGAGATTTTAGAAATTTCACTGATTGAAATCATGAGAAAATTGAAGTTAGACCACCATGGAAACCTGGGAGCACTGGACGGCCGTTTCGTCCTAATATGGGACACCTCACCAGTGCGCATCGACGATCCTGCCTCCCGAGATATTCGAACGCAGGATCTATCAGTCTCGCACCAGGCGCTTAACCAACTAGACCACTGAGATGGCATCAACTCACTGAAGATAATGGTGTGCGGTGGTGCAACTTCGTGGATTGGTTGAAGTTAGACATTAACACCGTTGGATGCCGGTCTAGTTGGTCTAGTTGGTTAAGCGTCTGGGGTGAGACTGATAGGTCCTGGGTTCGAATATCTCGGGAGGCGGGATCGTGGATGCGCACTGCTGAGGAGTCCCACAATAGGACAAAACGGCCGTTCAGTGCTTCCAAGTTTTCAATGGTGGTCTGGCTTCAATTGACTCATGATTTCAATCAGTGAAATTTTTTTAAAATAGTTGAATTCATGAGTTGATTAAGGCTAGAACACCTTGGTAAATGTGAAATCATTAGACGATCGTTTCGTCATAACATAAGACTCCTCAGCAGTGCACATCCACGATCCCGCTTGCGAGATTCTAAGATAAGATCTGTCTCGTACGCGAACGCTTAACCTCTAGATAGCTGAGCTATCATCCAGTGGTGTTAACGTTTAACTTCAACCATATTAGAGAAAATTTCAGTAATATCTGCTTTTATAACAGTAAATTCCAACTTTGAATAGCTTGATGTGTACATCTTATCCTACTCATCAAATGGCTGTAGCTTATTTTTGTATGACTATAAATATTAGTCGACGTTTGATTAAATCGAGGTGGCTCACACACCGTCTCCAATGCACGTCATTTCACTTCACTCTCTTCTCCTCGCTTCATCCTTCTATATGTCTCTGCAGATTGATGATCGTACAAAATATACGTATTCGAAACTTCACTCTTGTATTTGGCTTATTTAATTACGTTATTCACTAACACGGATCAAGTGAATAATAATATACGAGGATAACTACTTACTTACTTACGCCTGTTACTCCTCGTGGACGACCATAGGCCTCCCACTAGCACTCTCCATCCAACACTGTCCTGGGCAATCTCTTCCAGCTCTTTCTAGTTGGTATTTATCTTCTTCATATCTGTTTTTGTTTCCTGACGTAAAGTGTTCTTTGGCCTTTTTCTTTTCCACTTTCCTTCAGGATTCCAAGTTAAGATTTGCCTCGTGATGCAGTTTGGTGATTTCCGTAATGTATGTCCTATCCATTTCTATCGTCTTTTCCTAATTTCCTCTTCAGCCAGATGCTGGCTTGTTCTCCCTGACAGTAAGCTGTTGCTGATGGTATCTGGTCAATGGATGTTGAGTATCTTTCGCAGACAATTATTTACAAATAACTGCACCTTCCTGATGATGGTTGTAGTAGTTTTCCAAGTTTCAGATCCGTACAGTAAAACCGTTTTGACATTCGTATTGAAGATTCTCACTTTGATATTGGTCGAAAGTTGTTTTGAGTTTCATATATTCTTCAATTGTAGGAATGGGGCCCTTGCTTTGCCAATCCTCGCCTTTACGTCTCCATCAGATTCTCCTTGTTCATCGATGATGTTTCCCAGGTACATGAAGGATTCTACATCTACTAGAATTTCACCATCAAGTGTGATTTGATTGTTGATACGAGGTTATAGGAGGCTAGCCAGGATTTATATTTCAATAACAACCATTTATACAATCTATCTGACGTCAGATATAGGGTCACAAAATAATAGTATCAGTTCTTTATTGAATACTTACAATCATTAAAATTATAGATACAACACTTACTTGACTAGTTTCAGAGAATAGAACACTTGTCATATTTGCTTCAGTAGATATTGTCTCCGAAATATAAGGATCAACACTATAAAAAAATATTTAGTATAAAATTATAAAACGTTACCATAATAAATGGCAGTGAAACATGGCCGGTAAGAGTAGAGGATATTCGTCAGTTACTAGTATTCGATCATAGGTGTCTTCGAAACATTGCACGTATATCCTGGGACCACCGAATAAGTAACGCAGTTGTTAGGAAACGGGTACTAGGTAAGGATGGCAAACCAATTGATGAAGTAGAGAAACTTCATCAGTTGAGATGGCTAGGACACGTGTTACGTATGCCCAACCACAGACTGCCTCGATGTGCGGTGTTTTGTTGTATAGGAGTAGATTGGAAGAAAACTAGGGGCGGTCAGACCAAAACATGGCACAAATCCATGAGGTCACTGACAAGTGGACTGAGCCATATTGGTAGGTGTAGACTACCTGGTTGGGGACCGCGAGATGATAGCAACCTATGGTTAAAGACCTTGAATGACATGGCTGAAAATCGTTTACAATGGCGCAGGTGCATCCACTCTTTGTGTTCTCCCAAATCCTAATCTTCTGAATCCTTTATATCCCTTTCTTTTTTCTCTTCCCAAATTTATTTCACTGTATTATACTCTTTAAATAACATCTATAAACCCTAATCTTTCCGATTACTGCTTATACTTTTACTATCTCTACCACAATCGGATTTGAATGGATAACTGCATCTCTGTGCTAATGTGGTGTGGCAACTCGAACTGATGTACGTACGTAGGAAGTGCTACGTTGTTACTGACTGACTGAAATGCCAAAGCTCGTTTATCAGTTTGCTTAGTTTGATTTCTTTTTTTGTCAAAATGGGGATTTATTGAGATTGTAGTCATGTTAATAGTTGGATTCATAAGTCAATCTAAACTAGATCATCATTGAAAACATTGAAGTAATGGACAGTTATATCGTTTTTGTATGAGACTCTACAAGAGTATGCATCAATGATTCTTCACGCGAGACTCGAACCCAGCAACTTCAGTTTCGATCGCGAATGCCTAATCTTTGGAGAACTGAGCTAATACCGTTAATGTGTAACTTCGATCGATCCATGATATTTCGCAACCTTTTGTTTTTGTTAAATAGTTTAATTTATTGTAAACTCTAAATCAAGGTACTGCTTGGATTAGGTGTCTTGGAAGGGTTATCAATTCTTTTAGAGACTATGTGATTTGAATTGGACCTTAGAGTCTTGTCTTAAAGTCTTGGTAATTTCTTATGTTCATAACTGTAAGGTGATTTCAATGCATATTTTATACAGTTAATTGTACTGTAGTGAACAGGAACACTAGTAAAGACAACCCAATGTGTTTCAATATAGCACTACAGAATATCTTGGTAAAATGTAATAACCATACAATAAATACTTCATTTACAAAATGTCAATTAATTGTATCAGACTTGATTGTTTCCTTGTTTCCACACCAATCATTTTCTGTTCTCGTTCTCTTTTCTTCAATCTTCTTAACCTTCTGCCCCAAAGCATTTCACTTTCTATTGGTGATATATACTACTTATATCTGTCGACATCAGTAGCAAACACCAGAATATCAGTTTACCATGAATTACTTACATGTATTCTTATGAATAATCAATAATATGTATAGTGAGTTTAAACTTCACCCCATTGTACAAGCGGGTGGCTATCAGGACTTAGTAGCTAAGCGGATAATGAGATAGCGTTTGAAGCGAACGGTACTGGGTTCGAGTCCCTCCCAGAGTGAATATCAACTCTGAGATGTAGGTACATCCAGCTGATCAGACCTTAATAGGACGAAATGCACATACTAGATTCCATTGCTAGCCACTAATCCATCTTTGTTTAAAAAGCTTGTGACTTGAGGCTATATCGTGGCAATCCGCACAGGATGCATATATGCCAACAAGAGACTGATCACTTACAGTCCTCAATAACAATGGGAAGATACGAGTAAAACAACACCAAGTGAATTTAAACCTCACCACATTGCACAAGCAAGTGGATATAAAGACTCAGTAGCTTAGTGGAGAACGTTACTGGGTTCGAGTCACGAACTGAATATTAACTCTGAGAATCAGGGACATCCGACTGACGAGTCCTAAATAGGACAGGACGAACATTCTGGATTCCACTGTTAGCCACTAATCCATATTTGCTTAAAAAACACAAAACTGGATTACCTAAAATTCTGAAATGAAGGACTTTAAGTGAAACCTAAAATTTATCTCAATATATTCAAAGATGAAATGAAGTTAGATACAAAGTATTAATTGTACATGTTTGTACTATTCCATTGTTGATATTCCAAATGAGGATGATTAGATTCTATTAGCATTTAAAGGTCCATTCAACGAGTGTTTAGTAAATAATAATTAACTAATGAGTAGTGTTGAATGATGCTTTGATGATTCTGGATCCGTGAGATTCCCATCCTACAAGTGCATTTCGTGCTACTTTGGACAACATTAGAGCAACTCCCTGAGTGTTTGGAGCACTTTCCTCTTCGTGGCCGAAGTATAGCAGCATCTCTCCCGTATTTAGCCTTTGTTGTCCAGCTTGGGTCCAATGAGTTTCGCTGATTCCCAGTACTGCCAAGTTGTATCTTCTCATTTCCGTTGCTATTTGACTGGTCTTCCCGGTCTCCCACATTGTTCGGACCTTCCATGTACCTAATGAGTACTAATGAGTAGTGTTAAAAAATCAATTCAAGAATCTCAATTCAGCGATGAATATCAATAGAGGGAAACTACAATCAGGTTAATTGTAAATAAATATTGATGCGTTTTTTTCCTTTGACTTTGTGCTTTGGGATATAGAGGATAATGTATTCTAGTCGAAGTGAGAGTATAAACATTAGGGGTAATGACACATCAAACTAGAGAGTTAGAGTTTGAACGAAATGATCATCCTAGCGAGACTATAATTTATGGACGAACCAATCAGGTTTAAGATGATAGGTCTCAGATTTTGGCGCGAAATCCATTCACCCATTCGGCAAAATACCGTTTCGGCATTATAACTAATGTCAGTTCATCATGAAAAGCCCAAATTTAATTCATAACCTTAATCATCAACTATAAATCATAATTCTAATTCCTCACGCTGGTTTATAACATTCATTTGGTCCTGGTTATTAAGTGGACACACTCAAGGTGAGTTTAGCGTCGCTCAAAGGTCGTTCATAAACTATAGTCTCACCGAAAAAAGATTGTAACTTACGTTGAATAATCTAAGTTCCATATTTCAAGAACACCATCAGCGATTGAAGCAAATATCAAAGAATTATGAGGTGACCAAGAAATTGATGGAATTGTAGTCTAAATAAAAGAGACAACAACAGTATAGTGAATAAATATCTAGAGTTTCCATAAGTAGGAATCATGATTTCAGTTTAAATATACGTTTTGATGCAAAATCACTATTTTAGAGTCCTGAAGATCTTGAGCTCAGTCATCAATGGGATCATGAGTGTTCACTACTATAATGTCATATGTCATAATGAACTAAAGAATTCAACAACCTTCACACATTTCTATTCTAAATGATTTGTACAACTTAGAAATCCTACTAATTAAGTTAAATAATGGATCGATACCAAGATCTATACATGGTTAACATAATTAAGACAAATCATTGACAAATTTTAATATGCTCACTAGTGACGGTCTCCAAGAGGTATTTCCTGAAGTTCTAGTAGGGAGCAGTGACCAGTGGAGTTCAACAGAGTCTGTTGTGAGATAGTAAGTCACTGAAGACAATGGGAGATGTTTCGCTCACTTTCGTGGATTGATTGAAGTTAGACATTAACACTGTTGGATGCCGGTTGGTTCAGTGATCTAGAGGTTAAGCGCTTGCGTGACTGATATGTCCTGGTTTCTAGTGTTGTATGTGAGATCATGGATGCACACTGTTGAGAAGTCTCACAGTAGGACGAAACGGCCGTTTAGTGCTTCTAGGTTTTCCGTGATGGTCCAACTGAAATTGACTCATGATCTCAACCATTAAAATAAAAAACCTCAGCATTATACAGTTAGTGGTTTAACTACAAACAAGTAATATCTCGAAAGCATATTCGACGATATGTTAAAAGTCTAATCGTACCATCTACCTTCCCAAGCAATGCTTTTCAATTGTAGAGCAATACAGAATTATCTGCTGAACTGTACACTTGCATTCAAAGAGACATATGTCGTGCTATTCAACACCATATCAAGAAATTATTATTAATCGATTGTTCAGGTAACTTCTAAATTTTCCACTGTCAGTTAGTCAGTGGTCTTGAGTGCTGTTAGAGGTATGAGGGCAGTTATCACTTCCCGGTTGCCCACACCGTAGAAGGGTTCTTCTAGAGGTACTTGAAAAGGGAATTGTATTAGAGGTGGTCTTAATGACCAGAAAGCTTGACCGTAATGTCCAAGGGACAACTGTTTGAGGTCGGTCACACACGACTTACTGTGTCAACTAATATTGACTATTTCTAATATGAACCATCATCAAATAAGTATCGATAAACTAAAAAAGTAATTGATTTTTCTTTATAAATTCAAAGGTTATCGGATTATTTCTATTTATATAATAAACCCTTGTGGGCCAGAATAATTTTACAATGGTCTTCAGGAGAACCAGACACCATCCAGACTTTCAAGTGACAACCCAAGCAGTACAGCTCAATCCTACTTGCAGGAGAGTCCGAAATCACCCAGGCTTAAATTTTATAACCCAAAAAGTACCACTCAATCCCGCTTTACAAGAGAACTAGACACACTATAGGCTTTAACGCTACAATCTGAATAGTACAGCTCAATCCTGTGGCGAAACCGCACAGGTACCAAACAACCTGGTGGACCATTCGCACTATTCATATCCACATTCACGTCACATGTATAGTTATTCCGATAAATGATCATGTGAATCAATTGTGCACAGCACGAACAGGCCAAAATTGACCTATTCTACTTACACAACAATCAAACTCATTCATGTTAGCAATGGCGAAATGTTTTACAATATCTCAATGACAATGACCCTTGAGAACATTGGAATGCAACCATCAGTATGAATGAAATCGGTTAACCAGCAAAACAATTCTATGCATGAACAGTCAACAAAACTTGTCAAAGTAATGCCGAACCATTCACTATATCAATGGCGAACCTCCAGTGTCATATGAGACCTTCAGCTCTACATAATAATATAACTTTTAATATCAGATGGGTTTTGTGGAGATTGTAATAGTTCCAATGGTTAAGATCATGAGTGAGTTGAAGCTAGACCACCATGAAAAACCTGAAAGCACTGGATGGCCGTTTCGTCCTATTGTGGGACTCCTCAGCAATGCGCATCCACGACCTCGCCTTCTGCGAGATTCGAGCCCAGGACCTACTGGTTTAGCGCGCGAGCACTTCCAGGTTTTCCATGGTGGTCTAGCTTCAACTGACTCATGATTTCAACTATTGAAATTTGTAAAAATCTGCACAAAACACCTTCTGATAATAATCATCTGCTCACTGGTGACTGACTTGAAGAGGCATTTCCTGGAGTTCTAGTGAGAAGCCGTTACCAGTGGAGTTTAACCAGGTCTGTTGTGAGATATCAACTCACTGAAGACAATGGTGTGCGGTGGTGCAACTTCGTGGATTGGTTGAAGATAGACATTAACACCGTTGGATGCCGGTCGGCTCAGTGGTATAATGGTTAAGCGGTCGCGCGCGTCACTGATAGGTCCTGGGTTCGAATGTCTCGAGAGGCGGGATCGTGGATGCGCACTGATGAGCAGTCCCATACTAGGACGAAATGACCGTCCAGTGCTTCCAGGTTTTCCATAGTGGTCTAGCTTCAACTGACTCATGATCTTAACCATTGAAAATATAACTTTTATTAGTATTTATTGTATATTATCGACTTTTTTTTCCTTGAAAATTATTCGATAAAGTAAAACAAACAATACAGAAAAGAAAATAATGAAACATTTCAATGTTCAATAATGGTAATCCCATTGATCAATAATTAAAATAAACAAATATGAAAGATTATTATTATTGATTATTATTGATTATATTGAATTGTTGGAATGTTTATTTCAACCAGTTACTTGTGTAAACAACCCGGTATTCATAAACTAATTTAATGATAAGTTAACCCCCACCCCCACTGGCAAAAAACAAACTAGATGGTTAACTTGATAAACAGAAGGGAGAACTTAGAAATGTTTATTATATGTATATATATGTGTATATGTGCATGGTAGTATATTCACATTGTGTATAAACACAAGTTAGGGTATGTTTCTTGTTTTTTAGAAACAGAAGTTTACTACTTTTGGTTACATCACTTTTTGTTGTTGTTGTTGTTGTTGTTGAGATAAAACGAAGTGTAATGAAACAATTTTCCAGTTCTGTGTGAATGTATAATTCTCTTGATTGAGATTATGAACCCATTGATGTGAAACCACCATCGAAAACCTCGAAGCACTGAACGGCCATTTCGTCTAATTGTGAGATAACTCAGTAGTGTGCATTCACGATTCTGCTTACAGGATTCCAAACATGTGCTCACTAATGACTAGTTTCGTGAGGGAATTCTCAGAGTTCTATTGAGAAGTCGTGACCAGTGAAGTTAATCCGTGTCAGGTAGAGACAGGTATCCATGACAATACAATGGAAGGTGATCGCATAATTTCATGGATTGGTTGAGGTTAGACATTAACACTGTTAGATCTCGGCCGGCTCAGTGATCTAGACATTAAGCGTTCGCACGCGAGACTGGAGGTTCTGAGTTTGACGCTAGGATGAAACGGTCGTCTAGTGCTTCCAGGATAATCTAGCTTTAATCGACTCATGAATTCAACTATTAAAATGAATAAAATTTCCACAAAACTCCCTTGTGATAATTCCTTTTCTTATCAATACAATGTAAATAGTGACCTCGATGTTACATTCATTAGTTGATTGATTTCATAACTCAAGACTTCATGGAATAACTTCAAGGAATTCATCTTGAATCTAGTCAACAAACTAATTTTTACACATAATATTCAATATTCTAATTCATTATTAATCAAAATAACTACTTCTAATGATTAATAAGATTGAATACAAACTAAATAATACATCATTTTACAAGATTTAATTAACTCAACTACTATTACAGGTTTATTGTGTATCGGGGTTGTGGAGATTATTAAGTTTTTGATTGAGATCATGAACCGACCAATGTTAGACCACCATCGAAAACATGGAAGCACTGAACGGCCGTTTCGTCCTATTATGAGACTCCTCAACAGTGCACATCCACCATCCCACTCACGGGATTCCAACACAGGGCATCCAGTCTCGCGCGTGAACGCTTAATGTCTAGATCACTGAACCGATCGAGATCCAACGATAATAATGTCTAACCTCAACCAATCCACGAAATTGTGTGATCACCTTCCATTGTACTGTCACGGATACCTGTCTCTACCCGACACGAATTAACTCCACTGGTCACGACTTCTCAATAGAACTCTGAGAATTCCCTCACGAAACTAGTCATTCGTGAGCACATGTTTGGAATCCCGTAAGCAGAATCGTGGATGCACATTGCTGAGTAATCTCACAGTTAGACGAAACGGCCATTCAGTGCTTCGAGGTTTTCGATGGTGGTTTCACATCAATCGGTTTATGATCTCAATCAAAAGAATTATACATTCACACAGAACTGGAAAACTGTTTTATTACACTTCGTTTTTTCAACAAAAAAAGAAACTAATTCTATTTTTATACCTTTTTTCTTTCTTCAAAACATTACAGTCTAGTAATTACATAATGTTTATTTTAATTAATTTAGTTTGAACACATAAACATTGATACAAGGGGGCATCAAATACATATGCGTCACATAATGACAATGAAGCCAGTAGCAATTATCACTGTGATACTGCCCGGGTGTCCAAACCGAAACAGGTGGTTTTCTTAGAGGTCCATACTCGGAGCCTTCAACCTGAAGGTCTGATCCACAAGGTAAAGGAGCATCATAAGGAGATGCAATCCTATTTTAGCCGGTGCCCAATAATTGGTTCATACGCCATTTGTTCCTTCAGGATCCTGGAGCTTATGTACATCATTGGTTTGGAATGGGGGTTTTCCAACAACCTTTAAGTGGATCCTTCATATCCACCAACCTGATTAAAGCGCCAGACATTCGCTTTTTGTCCTCTCAATTTCATAAACAACACCCCAGCCACGAGAAGGTAGTGAATAAGACTTCCTTGACATTGGCTTTATGTACATAATTTTGTGAGATCATTTGGAGAGAGTGCGCGCGCGCGAGAGAGAGAAAGAGTGAATTCTCCCCACCACCCTCAGTAGTACCAGGACACTTTTTGGAGGGAATATCATGTAAACTTTCAACATTGAACATGATACATATATTACATTAAAAAGATACAAATTTTAAACAGTTGTTCAGTTCTTTCTTTCTTTCTTTCTTTCTTTCTTTCTTTCTTTCTTTCTTGTTTTCAACTATACATATACAAGAGTATTATTACAATTGAAGTATTTCAATAAACATGAAATATAATTTGTCTTAACTAAATTTATTTCTTATAGCAATTAGTATAATACGGTAAAAGGAGAAGAACATGGATTCATGAATTCAATATATATTCATTCATTTATTAAAAGAAAAGAAAAGAAACGAAAAGAAAAGAAAAGAAAGAAAAAAGGAAAGAAGAATCTCCTAGTATCATTTGTTTAAAAGTCAATATTGAAAGAAATGTAAACCAATGTAATTTGTAAGCAAAGATGGTTAATGGTTAGTAGTGGAATCCAGTTTGATGCGTATTTCGTCCTATTTAAGACTCATCAATTGGATGTACTTGCATCTCTGAGACACGAACCTAGTACATTACTGTTCGTTTGAAACGCCATCATGTTATTCACTTAGTTAATGAGTGGAATGTTTATAATACATGTGATACAACACAAAATCGAGGCAATACGCACAGGATGGATATATATATATATATGTCAATAAGAGACTGATCAATTGCAGTCCTAAACATCAATGGGAAGAATTAGGTAAACAATACCAAGTGAATTTAAACTTTACTCTATTGCACAAGTAAATGGTTATCAAGACTCAGTAGCTAAGTGGATAACGTGATGGCATTTGAAGCGAACGGTACTGAGTTAGAATCTTAGAATGAACATCAACTCTGAGATGCAGGTACATCCAGCTGACAAGTCTCAAATAGGACGAAACAAGCGTCAAACTGGATACCACTCTACAAGTCACTATCCATCTCCGCATATAATGCTTTTGAACTAAGGCAATATACACATTATGCACATATGCCAATAAGAGACTGATCAATTGCAGTCCTAAACATCAATGGGAAGATTCAAGTAAGCAATACCAAGTGAATTTAATGATCTAATTTGCTTTTTTTTAGATGATCATAATATCAACTCATGTATATGTTATTTTCAATGTTGAAAAGGTTTTTTAGGTTCAAAGGGAATAAGTATGACGGGAACTATAATTTATGAACGAACCAATCAGGTATAAGATAACATGTCTCTGATTTTGGCGCGAAATCCATTTATCCATTTGACTAAATAGGCTTTTGACATTATAACTAATGTCGTTTCGTGATGAAAACCCTAAATCTAATTCCCAACTTTAACTATCTACTGAATATTATAATTATAATTCCTTACACTGGTCTATAACCCTCATTTGATCCTCATTACTAAATGGACACTCTCATGATCACTCTAGAATTGCTCCAAGGTCGTTCATAAACTATCATCTCACCGATGCATGTTAAAATTGAACATTTTACATGAAATATTTCATTAGCATTGTTATTCAGTAACGTAGATGCTTGTTTTGTTTTCATTACCCTTAGAATTTACAACATACTTGTTGTTATCATCTTGGCAAAAAAAGAGGGATGGATTTCTTTAAGTTTGAGAGCTCCTAATCTATATCACATACTATATTGCTAATCGGACCAATGACTGATGTCAAGGATTTTCAAAAAGATCAATCAACGGAAAGCAGTACCTTGAAGCTCCTTCTAAACCAATGGCTAATCAGAAGACTATGATAGAAGGCAGTTTAGTTCTCTATTATACCTAATTCAATTCATCCTTAGAAACTGATTCAGTAGTATACTGAATGTGCCTAACCACACAGCACTCCAAATAAAAAAATTACATTCGGAAAATAATCATACCATAAGTGATAGACAGTGGAACAAACAGTACATGATTAGTTAGCAGTAAGTGAGGATTTGTAAGAATGTTTGGTAACAGTTAATAGGTTTTTCAGAAACTTACAGTAAAGGGGATATAGAAATGTAAAAACATACTTACCTACCTATCATACAACAAAGATGTGAATAATAATAATAATCGTGAACATAGTTTCAACTTCCTCCATATTCCTTCTGTTATACATTATACACTAACATATGTTTTCTTTCTATGTCTAGTAAGATCTAAATAACAAGAATATTGCTTCAGTAGTTGAGAGCTTGAGTCAATTGAAGCTAGATCACCATCAAAAACCTGGAAGCAATGGACGGCGCATTCACGATCCCGTCTCGCGGGATTCGGACCCAGGATCAAACATTTGAATTTAGATATCAACACCGTCAGGTGCCTGCCGGCTCAGTGGTCAAGCGCTCGGGCGCGAGACTGGTAGGTTCAGGGTTCGAGTCCCAAGGGATGGAGTCGTGGATGCTCACTATTGAGGAGCCCCACGACAGGATGAAACGGCAGTTCAGTGCTCCCAGGTTTTCCATGGTGGCCTAAATCCAACTGACTCATAATCTCAACTATTGAACTTACTACAATCTCTACAAAATCCTTTCTGATACTAAGATTATTGCTATTCAAGGACCTATCAGTATTCAACAGTTTTGGTCCTACAAGAATTCAGTTACAGCTGTAGTATCATTAGCTCTTACAGTAGGCGATAAAGGTTGAAATACTACAGGAAGCATCAAGGTTTCACTTTGTTAACCAGTATCAAATAGTACAGAATTGGAGTTCAAGGTTTATTCAGCCATTTAATAAGTTAAGGATGAACAGGTTCTGTTTATTATAAGATGATTTCGAAGCAGGTAAAGTTAGCAAGATTTTAGTCATCCCTATCAAAATATGCCAGTATCTTCGAATTGACTATCACCATCAAACAATAATGTATGAATCCATAAAGAAGATTCAGTCCAACAGTCGATAAACTTGCAAACTCATGTTGTTGTTTTAATATAACTTGATACAATCTACTCTGATCATAACTAGAACTACATATCAAAGTGGTTAGTGATTATATATGCGTAACACAAGCCTTAATAAACTAAACCTAATGATAAGTTGAACTATTCCAATTATCAGCAGTACTCACATTGTGATTTCATTGTACATTGTCAAATCTTCACAAAAGTTCATTTGGAACTATATTAAAGCCTACATATATTTTTTTGTTTCTATATTGTATGTAAAACAATATACAGTATACTCACTTACTCACTTACGCCTGTTACTCCCAATAGACTATCGGCTGTCGACCAGTATTCTGGTTAGCGTTATTTTAGCGAGTTAGTTTTCTACGGGATGGAGTCGCTAACCCCACGCTCAACCCTCTTCCTTTACCGGGGCTTGAGACCGACAATAGCCCAAGAGGTGCTCCAGGTGGAGTTCGGCATAAATTATGCGAACATAAATCTAGTACCAATGTCGAGATCGATTAACCGTTGAATCGGTAATATTTTACAAAAAAAAATGTACAACAAATCAAAGTGTATCATACAAATGATTACATAATATTGTTTGCTTACCATATTTCTTTGAATAGTAATCAATGGTTTTTGATAGTCTAAGTGCCATAATCTTATAGTCATATCAGCAGAACAAGAAAGAAATATCTCTGGTACAAATGGTGACCATTCTATTTGATAAACTGATGCCTACACAATGAAAAAAATAAAGAATCATAGACAAATTTAAGATTGATTCATTTCAATAATGATTTTATTCAATTTTAATAGTTTAGATCATGAGTTAATTGAAGCTAGATCGTTTTGAAAAACCTGGAAGCACTGGACGGCGATTTCATCCTGTTGTGGGACATCTCAGCAGAACGCATTCACGATCCCAACTCATGATATTCGAAACCAGGATCTATCAGTCTCGTGCACGAGACTGGTAGTAGTTGTGTAGTGAATGAGAACACAATTGAGAACAATCAAACATATTACAATATACAATTACAGACTTCTTTGGTAAAACGTGAAGAAATCCTACATTCAATATTTCATTTCGAAATACTCCATCAATTGTCCCAACTATCATTGTTCATTCATTGTCTACTTCTTTTTGATCCGATCTTTCTAACCTTCTGCTACCAGGCTTTCCATTTATAATCTGTGTTATATACTACTTATATCTGTCGTTATCAGTAGTGGTAGAAAAATACTGCTTATCAGACAGAAACGTTAGTCTAAACATTTATAATCGATTAATATGTTTACCGTCTCTTATCTAACTATTTTGTCATCTTATTACATGACTTGATTACTAGAATGGAATCTTACTAGAATTTTAAGTAATCCATCTCATAACGCACTGTTAATAAGCACTAAATAATAATTAACTATTTAGGTAGTATTCGTGGTGGTATTCACGATAATCTAACTCATTGGACAGGACAACACTGTGTAGGCTTCTTCGACATAACGACGTGCCTGACAAGATAGCCAATATCATACGGAATTCCTATGAGGGATTAAACTGCAAAATCATGCATGGAGGACAATCGACAAACTCGTTCGAGGTAAAGACCGGTGTCAGGCTTGGTTGCCTGCTCTCGCCCTTCCTCTTTCTCTCGGTGAACGACTGGATCATGAAGACGTCAACATCTGAAGCAAAGCATGAGATACAGTGGACAGCTAGGGTGCAGCTGGACGATCTAAACTTCACAGATGATCTAAAACTTCTATTTGGGCAGTATCATTGATGAACACGATAGATCTGATGCAGATGTGAAGGTGAGGATCAGCAAAGCAAGAGCAGCATATTTACAACTGAAGAACATCTGCAACTCAAAAGAAATGTCTGTCAACCAACACCAAGGTCAGAATTTTCAATGCGAAGATCAAGACAGTTCTACTGTATGGGGTGGAAACTTGGGGAATTATGAAAGCCATCTTCAAGAAGATACATGTGTTTATTAACAGTTTTCTATACAAAATACTTCGGATCCGTTGTCCAGATACTATCAGCAACAATCTACAGTGGGGGAGAACAAACCAGATCCCATAAAACGAAGAGATCAGAAAGAAGTGCTGGAAGTGGATATGACACATTTTGAGGAAAGCACCAAAATGAGTCACATGAAATCCTCAATGCCAAAGGAAAAGAGGAAGACCAAAGAAGACATTACTCCGTGAAATGGAGACAGATATGAGAAGAATGAATAACAATAGGATAGAACTAGAAAGGAAGGCTGAGGACAGAGCGGATTAGAGAATGTTGGTTGGCAGCCTATGCTCTATTCGGAGTAACAGGCGTAAGTAATTTAGTAAGTAAGTAACTCACTGAATCGGATCATATTAGTTCACGATAAAACATATATTCAAATTTTTTTTAACGATGACATATGATATTCACTAATTACGAACATTTCAATCGTACATTTATTGATAAATTACACTTTTAAGGATTCGAACTAATGATTTTAATAATTGAATTCATCAGCCGATCTAAGCTAGACCACCATGGAAAACCTGGAAGCACTAGACAGTTGCTTCGTTCTAGTACGGAACTCTTCAGGAGTATGCATTCACGATCCCACACGCGGAACTTAAACCCAAGAGCTTCGGTCTCGAGTGCGAACGCTTAACCTCTAGACCACTAGGCCTGCATCTAACGGTGTGAATGTCTAACTTTCATTGATCCATAAATGGCTGAGGAGTCGAAACCGTTGTCTAGTACTTTCAGGTTTTCAATGGTGATCTAACTTATATCGACATATAAACTCAATTATTAAGATCACTACAATCTCTAAAAACCCCATTATCATGATTATCATTATGTGCTCACTCGTGTCTGATCTCAAGATAGATTTCCTGGAGTTCTAGTGAGAATCTGTGACCAGCGGGGTTCATTCCATGTCGGATAGAGACAGGTATCTGTCTCAGACAATAAATGAATGGTCGCACAAGATTATGGGTTGACTGAATTGACACATTAACATCGTTGAATCTTGGCTCAGTGTTCTGGAGGTTAAGCATTCGCGCGCGAAATTTAGGTCTCTAAGTTTGAATCCCACGTGCACTGTTGAAGAGTCCCATACAAAGACGAAACAGACGTCCAGTACTTCCAAGTTTTCAATCATAATTATAATCTCCCTAAACTCTGATTCCGATTATCATTAAAATAATGACACAGAATGTAAATTACAGGTGTATAAACAAAATTCACTTTGTTATTGTTATGTAATTAAATCGAATCATTTAGAATTCATTAAAACAAACATTCAATAGATAAACATTTCAAACGTTTATTTCTTATAACTAAATTAAAGTATTTAACTCTACTTTATCGTTAAATGTAAAATATACAGTTGAATTCAGTGAATATGAATTATGAAGGTGAAACTTGGGGAACTACTATTATAATTTATGCTACTGATGTAGATAGATACAAGTAGTATGTATCATCTTCCTTCGAAAGTGAAACGCCTAATAGCAGAAGGTTAAGAAGATTGAAGAAAAGAGAACGAGGATAGAGAATGGTTGATGTGGATACAAAGAAAAGAATGAAGTCTGAAACGAATAATTGATATTTTGCGTGAACGCAATTGTATATGTTGATAATGAATTCGTTGGAAAAAAGATCTCTTTCGTTGAAATTCATTTTTTAATAGTTTATTAGTTATATCTAGAGTATTGTAAACAAATATATATAGTGGCTAGCAGTAGAATCCAGTTTGATGAGCGTTTCGTCCTATTTCAGATTCGTCAGCTGGATGTACCTGCACTTAGAGTTGTTGTTCATCTCGGCAGAGAATCGAACCCAGCACCGTTCGTTTAAAACGCCATCGCATTATCCACATAGCTACTGAGTTCTGATAGCCACTTGCTTGTGCAATGGAGTGAAGTTTAAAATCACTATATATATTATTGATTATTCATAAGATGAATCAGAAAAAGAATACTTAATATTATTCACCAGTGTAGATGGATGTTTTTGAATACAATCTGACAAGATGATTGGATTGAAAGAAAATTTGGAAGTTTCTTAATTATTGTCGAATTTATTAATTGAACTGACTGTTGAACAAGTTTATTAATTCATTTAACTTTAATTAACTTCTTAAGAGAGATCTCTGAGATAACTCTCTGATTGTTGAACTTCTTACTATAATGTGTGCTACTAATGTCGACATAAGTACAAGTCAGTCATAGAATGTCTGGCAGCAGAAGGTTAAGAAGATCGAAGAAAAGAGAACGAGGTTAGAGAATGGTTGATACGGATACAAAGAAAAGAATGAAATCTGAGACAACTAATTGATATTTTGCACATGATATATTTATTGTATGGTCCTCACATTTTACTAAGAGATTATGTATTCAAATACATTCGATTGTTCCCACTTATGTTCTCATCCACTACACTACGAGCATATCTCGAGCTGGAACATTTCACTGATGACTTACAATATGTAGATGACATAGACCTGTGTTGGTGAAGATGATGATATGATGCATTCTTCTAACCTTTTTATTCAACAATACTGGCATGTTTGGTATGATATTGTCTTCCTTTAGATATGAAATTTTGCTTGGTTGGTTTTTAAAGTTCTAGTTTCGTTATGAAATGTGGTTATTCTTTGATCATATTTCAAGATGATGGGGAACATTTGTAGTTCAGGTGGATGATTTTGATGGAGATTTGTTCCCTGGATTAGATGGTTTAGTTGTGAAGCTTTCATTGTTCTTTTGAACAACAACATCATCAGCAGCAGCACAAACTTTAGAGAGGAATGAAGTCTTCAAATTTCGCCACATATGGTTCACAGTTTGTCCTGTACACCACAATGTTGATTGGTTCTTGTTAACCTTAAACTTTGAACAAGAACTAATCAACATTGAGGTGTACAGGACAAACTGTGAATCATATGTGGCGAAATTTGAAGACTTCATTTCTCCCTGAAGTTTGTGTTCAGAAGAACGATGAAAGTTCTACGACCAAAACCATCTAGCTCAAAGAACAAAACTACATCAAAATCATTCATATTTCCTCATTGAACTAGTACTTTAACAACAATAACAACAAGGAAAATGTTCATGTATGCATACAATTGTCCAACTTGATAATAAATTCATTATAAACAAGATCTCTTCCATTGAATTTCATGTTATATCCTCTTTGAAAACAAGAATTATTCACATACTAAATACATCTTATACATAAATCATGATAAACCGCATATTATTCCATGTATTTATCATATGAATTATGATCAAAAGCAAGAAATGACAACTGTTCCATACTCTGTAAAATAGTTGATTATGAACAATGGAATAAAGAAGAAAGAAAACAACAACAACAACAACAACCTATTTTAGTCAGCGTATCCCATATCAATTACTTTGATGATTGTTAGTAAAACAAACTTTTTTCTTTGTTTCACTAAGAACAGATAAAAAACAAATAAATTCCATGATACCAAAATACAAACGACTTGAGAGAAATGTTAAGATAAAGAATAAAGCCACCACCACCACCACCAACAACAACAACAACCAAAACAACCACCATCACCACCACAACAACAGCCAAAACCACCACCACCACCACAACAACAACAACAAAATATATGGATATAAACTATTGTCCATTTATTGATTAAAACAATCTTCTTCTTCTTCTTCTTCTTCTTCCTCTTCTCCTTTATTATTAT